ATTATTGCGTTATCGCCCACGAGAGAAAGTATTGAAAACTCCAGTGTTAATAGTTCTTAATATATTGTTGAGCGAAGAACAATGTAAAGCCATTACAGTGAATCATTATAGCATTGATTGTAGAAAAGACTGTTTGAGCCTGAGTACAGTGTAACTAAGTAATTCGGTTTATTTGTGCCAATATCGGGTGTGCGAGTTTCTAGTAATATTGGAGAATTTAAAGAAACCGCGCGCGTGAATCTAGAAAACAAGCAAATTTCGCGCGGAGAGACCATTGCGATCAGCTGTTCTTGACACTTGATGAGGAGGGGAGAATGTTGCCCTCTAGTGATCGCATACTAACCGTGGGAATTACCGGCCGCGTCAGGATCAGTTGATTAATTGATTATTGTTTGGCTTTGTGACATCTCTCATACATTTTAAGTAAAATACAAAACTATCTTTGTGTTTATATCATCCCCTCCATTGATCCTGTGGCTATATTATACTGGTAAATATAGAGTGATAACAATAAGTACCTGCCTGATTCCTGATCTTTGAGTGTGACCTTGCCAAGGCTACCACTGAATACACCAGTCCACTGATGGTGTTACTGGCCACCTAAAAACACCAGTTGGCGACCTTGTGATTAACCGTAGAGCCCTATTGTTGGGGAGGGCACACGACAGTCGATGTGATCGAGTCGTGTTCTCACTCTTTCTTAATAAGAGGCCGTTAAGATTGACTGGGAGACTCTCCTGGCGTGCAGTGGCGCCGTGAGGATCGAGGGAAGACCCGCAGGGCTACGGTGAGTCACCTTGAGCATAGCATTTGCTCACCCCAGACTAGAGAGAAGAGAGCTGAGAGCTGAAAACCCCAACAATATATATATATATATATATATATATATATATATATATATATATATATATATATATATATATATATATATATATATATATTAAGCAAACCATTTCTGTAAGCAAACATATTTTAAAATATATATTAAGGAAACCTTATCTGTAAGCAAACATATTTTGGTGTAGTGGATTGGCTTTCCATTCAATTCGATTAAGGACCATTCTTTCTGCAGTTTTGGCCAGACAGCTTTTTAATGAGATGGGTATTGGATTTCCTGGGTTTTAGGTTTTTGAATGGGAACTATAATTACACTGTTCAAAGAGAGTGGTCGAGTTCTTGTTGCCCATACTCTGTTGATGAGATTTAAGAAGGCTTCTTCACCTCTTTCTCCTAGCTTGGCTAGCATGTTGTAAGGGATTTTGTCATCACCTGGAGCTGTATTTTTAGTTTTCTTTGTAGCGCTTCTGAGTTCTTTCAGATTGAAAGGTTGGTCCAGTTCGTCAGGTAAGGCTAAAGCATCATCTACTTTTTTTCCATCTTGCTGCTTGAAGTCTTTGTTGGTGAGTCAGAGTTGCTTGAGGAAGTTGAGTGGAACTGGCTCTTGAAGCAAATAGATTTGCTAACCTTTCTGCTTCTTGTTCTGGATGAACATAATGCGGAGGAGCATGAGGCGATTTTCCTTTGGCCTTGTTGATCTGCCTCTAGATGTCACCCAAGGATGTATGCTGATTTAGCTTGGCACACCACTCGAGCCATTTCCCCTCTCTGATTTTTGCTGTTTCTTCGTGCACATGATCTCGGACAGCTCTAAGAAGTCCCAGATTAGCTTCGGTTCTATCTCTTCTAAAATTCTTTCGTGCACCATTTAGTCTGTTATGTAGTTCTTTGATCCTATCACAGTAATACCAATGGTCCTTACGTTGTTGGGTAATTGTTTTCCTCTTGGAGATGGCGTAATTTGCTGCTCTATGCATTGCATTTACTAAATCTTTTTCCACTTCTTCGGTGTTGTCAGGAGGAGTGTAGTTTTGGTGCCAAGTTTCGAGAGATTCCTGAAACTTCCTCCAATCTGCTTTGATAAAGTCCCATCCGGGCTCGGGAGCTGGAGGTCTGGGAGGTAGTGCTATATATTAATAACTGTTTTTGTAGCAAAGTGGTCACTGGTCAGAACATGATCAACTGACAAATGACACAACTCATAAATACTGGTAGTAACAAACGTGAGAGCCAGCTTTCCCCCACCAGTGTGGGTTGGTTCCGTCGAATTAAGCAACCTGATTTCAGGCACTTCATAAAAAAGGTGTTCAATATGTCTTCCGTTGGCGTCGGTTCTTGGTGAATCAAGTAGTAATTCACTATGAGCGTTGAAGTCGCCAGAGATGATAGTAGGTGTAGTGACTGCTATTTCAAAGATTGCTGAGAGATCCATGTCGTGTTCTCTATGGCTCCTGTATACATTGAAGATGGACAGCATTGAGTTCCTCATAGTGAGATTAACTCCCATAATTTCGACGTTCTCGCCACATTTAGGCAGGTCTGTGACTGCCGTGGCATTGATATGATTTCTTACTTGAATTGAATTGCCTCTGGTGTGACCTTGTGCCATAGGGCAGTGGAAACCTTGATAACCTAGGATATTGATATTTCTTTCAGTCCTGGTGAGTGTTTCTTGAAGTAGAACAATACCAGTGTTGTCCTTGAAAAGCACTGCTCTGAGTGTTTTCGCTTTGTTTTTGAATCCTTGAATATTCCATTGCATAATCTTGAGATTGTTCATTATTCCGTTATAGTGGAATCATTGAGTCCATGTTAGTTTTTACAGTGCTGATTTTCCCGACTTTTTACTTGGTGGGTGAGGAGACTCTTAGTTGGGTTGGAGCGTCACAATGTGGTCATGGTAACACACAACAGTCACAATGTGGTCATGGTAACACACAACAGTCACAATGTGGTCATGGTAACACACAACAGTCACAATGTGGTCATGGTAACACACAACAGTCACAATGTGGTCATGGTAACACACAACAGTCACAATGTGGTCATGGTAACACACAACAGTCACAATGTGGTCATGGTAACACACAACACAGTCACAATGTGGTCATGGTAACACACAACACAGTCACAATGTGGTCATGGTAACACACAACACAGTCACAATGTGGTCATGGTAACACACAACACAGTCACAATGTGGTCATGGTAACACACAACAGTCACAATGTGGTCATGGTAACACACAACAGTCACAATGTGGTCATGGTAACACACAACACAGTCACAATGTGGTCATGGTAACACACAACACAGTCACAATGTGGTCATGGTAACACACAACAGTCACAATGTGGTCATGGTAACACACAACAGTCACAATGTGGTCATGGTAACACACAACAGTCACAATGTGGTCATGGTAACACACAACAGTCACAATGTGGTCATGGTAACACACAACAGTCACAATGTGGTCATGGTAACACACAACACAGTCACAATGTGGTCATGGTAACACACAACAGTCACAATGTGGTCATGGTAACACACAACACAGTCACAATGTGGTCATGGTAACACACAACAGTCACAATGTGGTCATGGTAACACACAACACAGTCACAATGTGGTCATGGTAACACACAACACAGTCACAATGTGGTCATGGTAACACACAACAGTCACAATGTGGTCATGGTAACACACAACACAGTCACAATGTGGTCATGGTAACACACAACAGTCACAATGTGGTCATGGTAACACACAACACAGTCACAATGTGGTCATGGTAACACACAACACAGTCACAATGTGGTCATGGTAACACACAACAGTCACAATGTGGTCATGGTAACACACAACAGTCACAATGTGGTCATGGTAACACACAACAGTCACAATGTGGTCATGGTAACACACAACAGTCACAATGTGGTCATGGTAACACACAACAGTCACAATGTGGTCATGGTAACACACAACAGTCACAATGTGGTCATGGTAACACACAACAGTCACAATGTGGTCATGGTAACACACAACAGTCACAATGTGGTCATGGTAACACACAACAGTCACAATGTGGTCATGGTAACACACAACACAGTCACAATGTGGTCATGGTAACACACAACACAGTCACAATGTGGTCATGGTAACACACAACACAGTCACAATGTGGTCATGGTAACACACAACACAGTCACAATGTGGTCATGGTAACACACAACAGTCACAATGTGGTCATGGTAACACACAACACAGTCACAATGTGGTCATGGTAACACACAACACAGTCACAATGTGGTCATGGTAACACACAACAGTCACAATGTGGTCATGGTAACACACAACACAGTCACAATGTGGTCATGGTAACACACAACAGTCACAATGTGGTCATGGTAACACACAACAGTCACAATGTGGTCATGGTAACACACAACACAGTCACAATGTGGTCATGGTAACACACAACACAGTCACAATGTGGTCATGGTAACACACAACAGTCACAATGTGGTCATGGTAACACACAACACAGTCACAATGTGGTCATTGTAACACACAACAGTCAGAATGTGGTCATGGTAACACACAACAGTCACAATGTGGTCATAGTAACACACAACAGTCACAATGTGGTCATGGTAACACACAACACAGTCACAATGTGGTCATGGTAACACACAACACAGTCACAATGTGGTCATGGTAACACACAACACAGTCACAATGTGGTCATGGTAACACACAACACAATCACAATGTGGTCATGGTAACACACAACAGTCACAATGTGGTCATAGTAACACACAACAGTCACAATGTGGTCATGGTAACACACAACAGTCACAATGTGGTCATAGTAACACACAACACAGTCACAATGTGGTCATAGTAACACACAACAGTCCCAATGTGGTCATAGTAACACACAACACAGTCACAATGTGGTCATGGTAACACACAACACAGTCACAATGTGGTCATGGTAACACACAACAGTCACAATGTGGTCATGGTAACACACACAACACAGTCACAATGTGGTCATGGTAACACACAACAGTCACAATGTGGTCATGGTAATGCTCGTTACGAGTCACAGTAACGTTGTCAGGGTGAAATGGACATATAAACAAGGAGATACTTACTTCTTTTGTCATCGACAAGTCCATATGACTTCACATTCTGTCTAAAACGATGTCCTTCACCCAAGGTTGGTCTTCCCAGAGTGTCCTTGGAAGCTGGAGACAAAACCTCGGTTATTATATAATCTCAGAATATAAAAGTTATTCTACACCTTTAACTATGCCAGTGTTTTTGTCTACTTCCAATGTTTTCGTCGTAAATTTCAACCCCCAGGCTTTACACATTGTAATACTTTTGTACACAATATATACACGTGTATTTTCAGCAAGATATTAGCCAGCCAATATGACTTGTACGATCCAAACTGAGAAAGCCGATAAAACTGGCAAGCTGAGCACCATGGAGGGAGCAATTACATCAATGGAAACCTTACCACAGCCTAGTACCAAGTTGAGGGACGGAATTATCAGAACAAAGCACTAAGCCATTAAGACTATATAACACTGGGAATGGATCAGGATAAATATTTGGGATGGGGCGAGGGAGGGGAAGGAATGGTGCCCAACCACTTAGACGGTCGGGGACTGAAACCTCCATGAAGTGAGATCGTCGCTCTATCGTCCAGTCTAAGTGGTTGGGTAGTACCAAGCAGAGAAAACCAACTTGTATTGGTTAAATAGTCTCTGGCCAGTCTGCTTTCCTTTAAAACGGGATAATATTATATATCTGGATGAACGAGGATGCAGGGCTGTGACACAAATATATGTCTATCTTGGTTCACACCCACATCCCCCTATGGTTAACTTGTATCTAAGTATCTCTATGTTAAGCCTTTAAGTCTCTTTCCGTTAAACGCCTAAGTATTTCTCCAATAAGCCTTTATGTCTCTTGCAATCCCTTATAGTTTTGGATGCATTATATATGCCTTAAAATAATGACATCAAACTTTGTGTTTATCAATACAAAATAGAATACGAAATAATGGCTAAAATTGGATAAGTTTGGATTGTTGATTTCTGGGAACAAATTATTGGGATAGATGGATTGTTTCAAGTATAAGTTATACAAACATATCAATAAGTTTGGATTGATATAAATAGCTGCCTCGTGTAGGACCACGGGCCTTCTGCAGTTTCATTTCTTTTTATCTTGTTAGTTTTTGAAACACTACTGATCTTGACCATAAATATGTTGGACAAAGAAATTTGTCAAAAACACAAAAATAATCAAGTATAATATTTTTTTTTCGTTTTAGATCTAATTTTAACCTATTGACGAGTAGCTGTTGATCCTATTAATCACTTGTCACTACAGTGATATTAATTTTTTTTTTTTTTAAATATTACATTTCAAGACTTAAGGTCACGCCTTTTGCTTTCGAATCTACACAAAGAGCTTCTAGTAGGAGAAGATACCAACGCTGGTTCTTTAAAAGTGTTTAGAAGGACAGGTATTCCCTTCCGTGAAGGGAACATAAAATTTCTTTAACACAGGTGAGGCCATTCAAGTTTATAGTATTAAGTCAACAGCCTATGTCGGCTCATTTAAATTTTTTACTGCACTTGAATGGAGAATAAATCCTATAACATATAAAAATTTTAATAAACTTGTTTCGAAGCTGAGGCTTAAGCTTCAAGATAGCATTTTTAATACATTGCATGTCATTGAATTACAGAATGATCACGAAATACAAAGCTCTCTTGGGAATTGATAGTTAGCCCCCATAACATGGGTGTGCCACGAACCGGAGGGCACTTGCAAACTAAATATTCGAATAAGCCACAAGAACTATAAATAACTTTTTTTTATCAAAGTAGTCAAACAAAAGGAATAAATTGAGGAGTGAAATAGTGGAGGCAAACTTTTAACTCGGACTCAAATGTAGATACGACTTAAGCCAATATATCCGGGTACACGTATATAATGATATTGAAGGTTAAAAGGCTGAAGGATGAAGCTCAGCCCCATGTGCACATTAAGGTTCATCTAGGGAAGTAAGCACACATCCCCACATCAAAATAGCAGGTCACCACCAGAGGGAAATCCAGAGTTTGCGTTATGACAACATGTTGAGGGTGTGATAATGAACGCTCACATTTTAAGCGAAGAGACCATAAGCTGCTCAAGATCTGAACAGTTGGTAAAAGGTTAACAAGTGTTTGTGTTTTTATTATATATGTTTTATGTGTGCTTACTTCACCGTAGTATTTCTTGGCATGCGGTCTGTCACTATTCCTCCCTCTGTTGGTTCTAGTTAACCAGACCCACACCTACCTTTCCTCCTTCCATCGCTCAGGATCTTCTTCCGTAGGTTCACTTTGTTCATGTCTTGATCCTTTCTTCTTCCTTTAGCCATTTTCTTTGCATATTTTCTTTTCTGTTTCTTGATTTTCACATTTCCTTTAATTTGTTTATTTTTACTACGTTCTCTCTTACCTTTAGTATTTTCCATTTGTATTTTTCCTTTGATTCCCTTAACTTTCTTTGGTCTTGTGCCACGTTTGTTGTCTTCCATTCCTTTGTTTTTCTTCACTTTGTTTAGCATTTTGAGACGTTTACTCTCATTCATTCGCCTGTTTTCATTATCTTTATTTGGTTTTCTTTGCCGCATTGTCTTTCCTTTGTTTTTGTGCATTTGTTTACGTATACCATTTATTTGTTTACGTTTCCGTTTAATCTTTGAATTTGCTTTATGTCCTTTCCTTCTTTCTTTTTGTGTGTTGCTTGTTTTCTTTTTCATTAATTTGTTCATATTTTTCACATGTTTTTTGCGATATTTGCTCTTCTCAATGTTTTTGTTTAGCTTATTTGTGTTTTGTTTCCGTAGATGTTTAATACTTGGCTTAAGTTGTCCCACTTTTCCTTGTCCTCTGCGACGCTGTGTCATTTCTTTTCCTCCAGGTTTGTGGTTTCTACCTCGTGTTCTACGACGGTCAGCTCCGGTTATCTTACCACCTCCCACAATGTTCTTCTTTCTTCCATTCCTCTTGCTCTCTTGACTTTCCTTGCCCTTTTTCTTCTCATTTCTGTTATGACGTATTTTCTTGTTAGTTTTCTTGTGTGTTTTATTGTGTTCTCTTGGTTCTCTTGCGGAGTTGTCGTCGCCTCTGGAACGTTTGTTGAGACCTTCCCTTCTCTCCCGCTGAAGCCTTCTTGACCCAAGGTCCTCCACTGTGAAAAACACCAGTCAAATGTTCAACAGTAAAATGCCTAACTTAATATCATACATAAATTATTTACATTTAAGTTGAACAAAATATTCGGAAATGTTATCAGACATTACACATAACTTCTTGAAAAAAATAAATATCCTTAACTGAGAATGTGAAGAGATGAACATTAACTCATTAAAATTAATAGTCATACATTAATAAAGTTTATTCACAAACATTTGCACATACACAACAAGTACAAGTGACCTTCACAGAGATTACATACTCTTAACTGTCCATCTGGGTGTTTCAGTAATTCTTTAATATTACGTATCGAGGATGGTACACTGTATATTAACTAAGTTAGTACAGTACTCTGTTGTGTCATTGGCTGAGGGATGCATTACAAACCTAAAAGGCTTCCTGATAATAACCATGAGAAGTCAAGTGTGCCATACTGATTCATACTGTTGGTGTATACTGACACAAGCATCAGATGTAAAGCTCAAGCTGCTGCCAAGAGGAATACACGCAGGTGGTCAGGCGGATCATTCTCATGTATTTTGTTATAATAAAGTGGTCTCAAACGCTTCTTAAAGAACTGCAACAGGATCGATGGATATCATATGGGAAACAAATATAATTTTTATATTCCAAGAATAAGATTGATCCGAAGCAGAAATCTCACGTAAATAAAAGATTGTATATTGAAGAATCGAGTAGCATAAATATTACATTTTACTTCATTCTAATTAAAGGATTTTGTGTTAACTGTTATTATTAATATGAATTACTGAAATGGACTGTTATAAGAGTTACCATTACGCTTCAACATTTCAAATAAGGAACTCAAGAATTTTCAGCTTTAAGTATCACCGTAGACAACTATAATATTTGCTTAATTTAATACATCCCATTTAGCACTTTTGGATGAAGAATAAGGTATTTTTTGAAAGTGAACTGGGTTGTTAGAGTGGTATATGGTCATTGGAACGTGATCAGGTCCTGTGAGAGATCCAGGTGATATGTAGTGATCAACCTTCAAGAAGTCAAGGAGGAGGACGGACCTGCAGTGAGGAGGCACGGAGACGACGCGCTAAACGGTGGGACGACGAGAGGCTCTGGTAGGACACGACGACGTGTAGTGTGGGGGCGTTCCCGACACGAGGACCAGGAGCTACATCTCGACTCTCATCGGAGGATAGGGTGAAGTAGGTGGTTCTAGTTCCCTCCCCATTCCCCTTTAGTTAGCTATATTATTTGGCTATATTATCTAGCCCGAAGATTTTATATGTCGTGAGCAAGTCTCACCTATGTCACGGTAAAGCACCAGTGTGCTAGACAGTACTATCAAGAGTACTTGTAATATTCATGTTGATTATTAGTGTGTACAGGCACCAGGAACCAGTGATAAATTTACTGTGGTGTGTATATCTTTCTATAGATTTTTTGATATGAACATATAGTGGTAAATTATATATAATATTATGCCAGTATTCGGAGGTTAGGCTATGTGCCCAGAAACTATTTATTTTGAAGATGATTACCTAGTCTTTTCGTAAAGCTAAAATCAGGCCTAACAGATCCAGTGGGTGAATATATCGGTATAAAATCTGGTAAAAAAATTAATTAAATTGTTAGGGAGATTAATGCTTTGGTGCATTATATGATGTTGAGCGTTGAGGCCTGCTATTAGAGTGACAGGTTATATCTTGAAATGATTTCGGGGCATTTTAGTGTCCCCGCGGCCCGGTCCTCGACCAGGCCTCCACCCCCAGGAAGCAGCCCGTGACAGCTGACTAACACCAAGGTACCTATTTTACTGCTAGGTAACAGGGGCATAGGGTGAAAGAAACTCTGCCCATTGTTTCTCGCCGGCGCCTGGGATCGAACCCAGGACCACAGGATCACAAGTCCAGCGTGCTGTCCGCTCGGCCGACGGTGGGAGAGTATATTTTGTGTAAAATGTTAATTTTTATGTAAATGGTTCTTCTTATGTATGTATATTGTTGGTCATGAAGTCTTTGTGATGCCAAAGGTATCTGTAATGTTCGAGTTTATTGTTGGGTTTATTTAGAAATTGCAATGCCCACATGTGCCTCTCCACGTGAATGGTGAGTATTGTAGCCATATTGTCTGATCGTCGGTGAGTTTTTAATGTATTTGCTGGTTAAAAGTAGAACGTCAAGTCTCTCGATCTCAATTGAGCCACCTGGTGTCGAATGTTAAAGTATGTTCTAACATTAGGATGTGTTACGTCTAAGAATACAGATGACATTTGTATACGTAGATCTGAGCTCATGGACAACGTCAGAAATCTTATCAGCCTACAACACCATCGATTTTTTTACCATAATCAGAATTTCTTTGGAAATATATTATTTAGATATTAAAACTACGATAATAAAATTTAACCAAAGAACCCTAACATATGAAGGATATGCTGTTTACATTCCGTTAATGTATTCACGTGGAACATCGGTGTTGCTATTAAAAACTTCGTCTATTGTGGTAACTATTATGTTTTGAGAAAGTCAATAGGGGCCATGAAAAGGATTCGAACCCGAATACTTGGTACTCCCAAGCACACGCCCTAGGCCAGTACACCACGATATGGCCAAAACTAATGCAACCTGGGATTGAACTGAATCCTCTAGAGGTCCAGTGGATTCCATTGAAGGCCAATCAGTTGTTTTAAACCTTGTCCTCATTCACTCTGGCTGTGGCCCAGGAATTCTACCTCCAACGCTTCTCTTATTTCACGTGGCATCAGTTAACATTGATACATCATGTAAATGTGACTTCACTTTGTATTAATGTTTTCTTTGCTAACGACATCATAAAATGTTGTTGTGGTCAAATAAATTAAAATGTTTGTTTCATACCCTACATGTATTCCTGATTTAATGTGATGGCTACCCTCTCTATTCTCCTCGACTTTTTGTATATTTTAACAGAGTATTGTTCAGATTAATTTTGCTGCATATATGTCAGTTCTTGATCAGTAAAGTCTATCGTGTAACAAAGTGAACAATATTTAAAAGAAGTTTATCAGTAAACCTTTTCAGTCCAATGAAGCACAATAATTAATCTGTAATTGGGTAGTAAAGATAAGGAACACTTTACTAAATGTATCAACTGAGACACACTAAAGTGTATTTATTTATAAATTGGCTGGGTAAACGTTTCAATATAATTACAGTGTTTGATCCACTACAAGACTTCCATACACAAAGATATTCACTGGAATTTTATGGTCTATGTGTGTTCCACGTAACTCTTTGGTTTGGTGTTAGGCTTAAGGCCTATCAACCTCTGGAAGGTTATTAAGACAACCATGAATTCCTTCCTGATAAGCAACAATGAAGCATACCAGAAGCAGGTATACTCTAGTTTTGGGCATAGTTGAAAACTAAAGTAATCTTTCAGTTTATATTCATCGAGAAGCCGGGAACACGTCTGGGTGTATATATCGGTGATAACATGTGTATAACATAAATATACTCACTGAGGCAGCATCGGGCGCCATGAAGGCAGTCATCATATTCAGTGAGGATGGCGAGACAGTCAGCCCGGGCCTCCACACACACTCCTCCACCTGTGGTGCACGTCCTGCTCTCGCTCTCCTGCAAGCATATTGATGCATATTTTCAGTGCAAGTTGATGACCTCAATGTTGCAAGTATTTTCTCTGTCCTTCAGTATTATAAATTACAGACTTTCTGTGTTGTGTACAAATATGTATGTGTCCTCAGGGAGGAATTCCGCTCACTGGAATGGATTCAGCACAACTACATAACTATCTACTATCTACTAAGGTTAGATTAGCTTAAGGTTATGATGGACAAACCACATATCAGAAAGTGAACAAACGACGGCATTTTAGTTCGTCCTGGACCATTGACAAGTCGTGTAAAAGGAGAGGATTGTGTCATGGATGAAGATTAAGCCACCCAAAAGGTGGCACGGGCGTGAATAGCCCGAAATAAAGGACAGGATGTTCTTGACAAATATATAAGGTAAGAGAGCGAAAAGATAGGGGAGGATCAGGTAAGAATAGGATGAATGTAAGAAAAAGATACAAATAGGATGAACGTAAGAATAAATTAATATATGATGAATGTAAGAAAAAGGTAAGAATAGCATGAATGTAAGAATAAGGTAAGACTAGGATGAATGTACGAATAAGGTAAGAATATGAGGAATGTAAGAATAAGGTAAGAATAGCATGAATGTAAGAATAAGTAAGACTAGGATGAATGTAGGACTTTGATTAAAGGTAAGAAATAGGTAAGAATAGGATGAGTGTAAGAATAAAATAATAATTGGATTAATGTAAAGATAAGGTAAGACTAGGATAAATGTAAGAATAAGGTAAGAATAAGATGAATGTAAAAATAAGATGAATGTAAGAATAAAAATAAGATGAATGTAAGAATAAGATGAATGTAAAAATAAGATCAATGCAAGAATATCATGAATGTAACACTAAGATGAATGTAAAAATAAGGAAAGAATAGTATGAATATAAAAATAGATTGGAATATGATGAATATAAGAAGTCTTTTGAATTCCTGTGACCTGACGGCCGAGTGGATAGTGCTCGGGGTTCGAAGTCTTAAGTGTCCGGGTTCGATCCCCGGCCGAGGCGGAAACAAATGTACAGAGTTTCTTTCACCTTGATTCACCAAGTAGTAAATAGGTACCCGGGAGTTAGACAGCTGCTACGGCCTGCTTCCTGAGAATGTGGGTGTGTGAAATTTAGGATTAAGGAATTGCCCGAAACGCTATGCGTGTTCTAGGGTGTACAAGAATGTAAGAACTCTTGTATACATAAATAAAAACAAAAAGAATAAGGTAAGAATGGGATGAATGTAAGAATAAGGTTATAATAGGAATAATGTAAGAATAAGAGGAGGGAAGGAGTAAGAGAAATATAAGAGTAAGAAGAAAGATACGAATAAGAAAAGGGTAGGAATAAAAAATCACATTTGTTAAGAAGGTTAGAACATTTAAGTATGTATTGTGAAAAGGAATAGTCAACAGCAACAAAGCCATTGTTAAAGTTCATGTTGGGTATGTTGTGTATCAGAGCCGATTCGACATGATGGTGAATACGTGTTCAATTTAAATTATAAACAAATACTTATTGTGTGTGTGTGTAAGTGGTTGAGTTTGTGCATGTTTCTGTATGTGTATGTTTGTGCTCACCTAATTGTGCTTCCGGGGGTTGAGCTTTGTCTCTTTGGTTCCGCCTCTCAACCGCCAATCTACTGGTGTACAGATTCCTGAGCCTACTGGGCTCTATCGTATCTACATTTGAAACTATGTATGGAGTCAGCCTCCACCACATAACTTCCTAGTGCATTCCATTTATTAACTACTCTGACACTGAAAAAATTCTTTCTAACGTCTCTGTGGCTCATCTGGGTACTAAGTTTCAACCTGTGTCCCCTTGTTCATGTCC